GAGCCACCACCAAAACCAAAAACGACACCTAAGCCAACAACGAGGCCTACGACTCCTCCTCCTCCTCCTACACCCTCCCACTTATCCCCTCCTCCCCCTCCCCCTCCTGGTAATGTTTCAAGCCAACTACAAAGTAAGACAAAACCCAACAGGATCAGAAAATGCTTTCTTTACTAACAAAGTAAGACTGACAAATCCCTATAGCAGGTGCATGTTATGTCATTGCTGCCATCTTGGTTGCAATAACAAAGCATTCCTCATTAGCCTCTCATTAGATCAACCAAGATGGTGGATGTTTCATTGGTATTCATATCGTTGACACACACTCTATACAATAATTATATTATTTAACGACATAGTAAGGTCTAGAACACAGGACAGCTTTAGAAAAAAATGTTTACATTTTTTTCTTCTTTGTCTGACTTGGTCAAACGCGTTAATTACTACTGACTTGGTCAAATACTTTCTTAGGCCCCGTCCACACTATGCCAGATAAATTTGAATCGGAATTTTTATTTTTTCGGTTCCATTTCAAAAATTCGTTTTCGGTGAAGAATTATTCCGGATTCGCCCGGACTAGTGTGGACGGCAGGCCTAACCGAATAAATAAAAATTCGGATTCAAATTTATCCAGCATAGTGTGGACGGAGCCTTATCTACTTCAATCTATGTATGTATAACTATTAAACTTTACTTCTAACTTCTACTCTACTCTACCTACTTCCACTCTATGTGGTGTACTGTCACACAATCAAATATTTTTAGGCTAAAATGTTTGTCTTTGTTTCTTAGGTTACTAGCTTTGAATAAATCTTTTGAACAGGGTCGTGCATTTTCTCCAAAATGGTCTAGAGGTGTTAGGTCGCTGAGTAGTACCAGTACCAGTACAGTCAGTAATAGCAGAGGTATGCCAGTCGTCAATCATAAGATAGAAAGATCCCATTTCATAAACCACTCCAAAACTGTCATGACAAATATCCCACGTGAATCTCAAAACCACAGGTAAACCATGCAGATTTTTTCTTAAACAAATCTCATTGCCACAGGAAGCACATCAATTATTTTGAGTCCTAAACGATAGACTTCTTTGGCTTGGTGTAATGTTTTCCCATTTCAGACCACGTGTCATTCCCTTGAGAATAAGATTCTTTGTTTGAGTTGTATCCATATTCATGTGTCTTCTCATGCACAACCGTTAAACAAAGAAATGATACTCTAGGGAAGGACACATGTTCTGAAATGGGAAAACATTACATCATAGTGGAAGAGGTCTATTATTTTGAAATGTGACTTGTGAATTGGGATCCCTTTGTATTGTTTAAAGCCCTAAAAGATCAAGCAGGTATTATACACCTCCAGCCAACTATCATCATCATCATCATCATCATAGTCCAGTATCAATAATCTGGGGAGGGGAGGGGAGGATTTATTGATTGCCATCTAAAATACCAGGTCGTATTCCTTCTTGTACTTGTCACTGACTGTCTTGGCAAGATCTGTCATGTTGAGTAGCGTCTTGTTAAAGTCCTGGAGGTGTTTCCTTATGGGATTCAAATCTTGGTCGAGTTCAAGGCCATGACCTGAAGGATGAGAATGAATAACGAAATTCGTTTAACAAGGAACAAATGGTTGAATGAAGTAGTTAATCTAAGGATGGACCGATAGAATACCTTCCTATCAATCTGTCCTTTCATTAATTCATTCACCTGCCCACCTCCAAATCATTCATTCATCATAGAACTATACAATCAAACCATCCATTCATATATCAACCAATCAATGTCAGTGAGTCTGTCAGTCAGTCACTCGGTCTGTCGGTCAGTCAGTCGGTCAGTCAGTCGATTGATCGGTCGGTCAGTCGTCCAGTCAGTCGG